CAGCCACGCTCCGTCGAGACTAGTTAAATCCCAAGTGTCGATTACTTTCTGCTCTCCCGCAGTAGTCGGCACGACAATCACAAGGCTGGAGATAAGATGTTGTGTTTGGTGGAAGATAGTGGACTTTTACATACCTTAAATGAAGCTCTATAGTATCCACATGAGCTGGACAATTATCAGCAAGTAAAAGTGTTGGTCTCTGCATTGCTGGTCAAACCACTTTACCCAATTCTTCCATTTCACCTGTCATCCAAGCCTTTGTGTTACTGGAATATTGGACTGGTAAAGTATTCAAATCAAGCATCTTGGTCTTTTGCTTTTTCCAATAACAAGTGGTTTAAGCTTACAGCTGCCTGTTGCATTACAAGCAAGTAAAATAAAAACAGTTAATCGCTGCTTATCTCTTTTACAGCCTTTGGCAGATCACTTTTGGAAGCTAATGTCTTGTCTGGCCCAAGCCGAAAAAAGAGACCTGTTTCATCGGCATTGAAAATATTCTTAAGCAGATATTGTTCTAATAATACTTCTAGTTGTTGTCTACTACTGACATGTTGACTGATGCCAAATTGTTCTTGAAATTTTATGGGTAAATTCACTCCAGCATTAATAAATTGTTGATGATACTCTTGTGCCTTTTGTTTAAGTGTATCCTGAGAAACTGGAATATTATTTCTGCGTACCATTGAAAACCATCTATGAAGAGCTTTTTCAACAATATCAAAATGACCTTGCTGTACTCGATTACGCTTGCTAGCCCTTGCTCCAATTTGATTAAACGCGTCAAGAACCTTTTGCTTATTTCGAATGATATTGTTAACAGTCGATCATAAATTCTTGCTAATTTCACATCACTTTTATGTTCATTTTCTTTTTTATTGATAATTTCAACGTTGGCCTCAAGAGTGATTGACTTTCTATCTTTACGCTTTTGTGTATAGAATTCATAATTACTGAAGACATCGTTAAGAATTTAAAATCACCGCGTAAATATCGTATATTAATATCTAAACGTAACACGCGAATACAGTAACTTTATTTAGTAGTTGGTATAACTTTAGGGGATATGTTTATTACAGGAATTTTGGGGGATAGGAGATGGAACATAACTATAAAATCCGGGGATACAACCGAGGGGTATGACTGTATGCTATAATTGAGGTATTCCGACACCTAGCAACATTGTGAACAAAAACTGTAACTGGAAAATTGCATTCTCTGTACTGTATAAAAAGCACATTTTAATTTTGTTCATGACATGGCTCACGAATATAAAATCCATTTCGTTATCGCCTACTTGGTAAACAGTTATTAATCATATTTAGACATATACAGTCTTTATTACTAAAAAGGATGCTTGACCCACGTTTCATAAAATTTACCGATCCTGGCATAAGGTAGTACTACTAGTACACCTTCAATTAGGAAATATGATATGCAAGATTAATATGACATCAGAACGCTTTAACCTGTTATCAAAGTTGTGTATTAATATCCATTTTTAGTATTAGGTCATAAGGACGAGATCCTCCAAGACCGAGAAGTATATTAAAGCCCGTATTTGGAGAGGCGCCATGATAACCAATATAAAAGCGCGAGTCTAGACGCCTCGTATTTCTCAGGACGACAGCACTGAATGGATGATAATTATATCTCGAATAGCCACGCAATTATGTGTAAAAATAAACTGTCTCTTTATGGTCCCTGGAAATATCAACAATTACTCTCGGAGAAGAAGCGGAGCATGTGTTGATGTTAATTAAATTTAGAATGCAGACTAGTGAATGCATATTAATATAGCATGCCCACACCATTTGCCTCTAACCTTATTAGTGCAGGAACACACAAATAAGGAACACACGTTCTACGCAATCACACGCTTTAACCAGTCCTAGGGAATGAGGTTTAGTGTATGGGAATAGGAATGTTAAAATATAGCGACTGAGCATGATAATAGTAAACAGGTTCCATAGCTGTGGGAAATGTTCGCATCAGGACCGATCGATTAGTATAGTAATATTGGCCCGAGCGATCAACAACTTTGATGTTTAACACATGGTGATCCTTTAATGAAACTTGAAACGACACATGAGTTCACACAAATCACTAATAATGCTCTACAAATATTGTCAAGCTGCTTCGTTCTTGTTTTTTAATTACCCTTTCTCACTCTATTTTCTGCGTATAGCGTAACAATGGCGAACATCGATAGAGGGATATGTATGCTTGCTATAATCATAGCCCTTTTCGCCGTGATGTCCATGGCACAGACAACTGGAGGAAACACCACAACTTCAGCTCAACCTGAACAATCAACGCAAGTGCCAGCGGGGGAAGATTCTTCGGACGGGGATGCATTTGCAGAAGGATACAGTGAGTCTTGAGAATCGAAATCTGCTCGATGTCGTGGCTTGATGGATATTTATTTTTGTTTTTATCTTTTGATAGCAAGGGCAGCCGATTATCCAATGGATGTCACAAGCTGTTTAATGGGAATTCTCTTTTTATCTACTGGACTAATTAGTTTATTAGGAGGATACAAATACAAATGGATGACGCTATTTTTGGGTGGCTTCTACACGGCAGGTAGGAATAATTCAAATATATAACCGTTGTGTTATACGATTTTGTTTAATCGGTTTATTTCTTTCTCTCTTCTTGCTGATAACACTCGTACGATTGCATTTATGATTCGTCCCCCCCCCCCCTACATATCAAAAAGGTCTGGTGATAGTCCTCTTTATAATTAAATTCCAAAATGTCACCGATCCAACAACTTCCGTTCGCTTTGTTTATTTAATCATATGTGTGGTTACTGGCTTGGTGACTGGCGGTTTCTTTGTGTGCATGTTTCCAACTGGAAGACTTCTTGTCGGTTTTGTCGGCGGACTGTCTCTTTCCATGATAATACTTGCAACTGACACTGATCTTTTAATTCATACCAAACTCTGGAGATATGTACTCATTGGCAGTCTCGCCTCACTATTTGTCTTGCCGTCTGCATTTAAAAAAACGTACCCATTTATGTCCATAATTTCTACTATATGTTCGGGATGTTACTTAATTATGCTTGGCGTAGATGTATTCGTACGTGGTGGACTGTTGGCTGGTTTCAAGTATTCTTGGGGATTTACTGAGCCTGGTGACTATAGATATGTCGTAGAGAGAAATACATTTTTAATACTAGTTATTGTTGGAGTTGCAGGAGGAGTAGTTGGATTAGCCTTTCAAATGGTTTGGTATTGGATCGCACAAAATGATTGGAAGGATATTGACTTTAGCTTTATCAAGAGATACTGTCGTCTTGGAAAGTTAAGAGGAGAGGGGACAAAGAAAAGCGACATACCAGATCAGGTACCAATGGTTAACTTTGGTCTGAAATTAGAAGGAAGAGCGGCTACTAGATGGGGTGAAGGAACTAGATGGGATAATGTATAATGCATATATTTGATACTTATTAACTTCGTAGTAATAGTAAATAATAATAATTTATTGGTAATACAAAAACCCATTTGTTTTAGACGTCAGTGAAATTCCTTAACGCGGGTGTACATTATATGACAAGATTTGTAAATATGTAGATTGTTGATAAGTAAATTGTGAGAGCTGATTCTGAAATCCAGCTGAAGCTGAAACTAACCAATGGGATTAGAGAATAAAATCTGATCAACCAATGAAAGGTCATTTTTCAGCTTCAGCCGGATTTCAGCATCAGCCGTGACAAGTATTACTATTGTGCTATTACGCAACGACATAAGTTGTCCAATCTATCGAGCTAACGCTAATATTCAAGGTACAACCCTGTCATGTCATTTCTTGTTATTACACGGTACGGTTTACTAAATTGGTCATGTTTTTAAGGTGATAACTTGAAGTTTACAATATGAACGAAAGTTTTGAGAAGTCTTGAAAGTGAATTGTGATCTTAGATGAGGTGGAAATCGAAAGCCATGTTCGTGAGAATTAAAAAGATGAGTAGTAGTAGATACCTTTGAAATAGAGACTGTTTCAATTGACTTTTATCAAGAACATTCGTGAGAATTAATGGATAAAACTGCACATGAAAAAGATGAGTAGATACCTTATTTTGTTTTAATTAATCTCATTGTCAACTTTTAATAAACAAACGCTCATCCGAGATGATTATCTAACTTCTCTCTCTCTTTTTGAAGGTAATGATTATTATTGATTGTATTTAATGAGATATTACTAATCTCGTTTTTGCTTAAAGAATGGCAAATTCCTATCAAAAAGGAAAGGATTTCGAAAGTGAAATTGAAAAATATTACGACAAAACGGTTATATACCCCGTGTAAGGTGAGAATTCTCACTGAGTGTTTGTTAAATAGTCGTTAATGTATCCGAAGTTACGCTGCCACTAGGTGTAAA